TATAGTACCATTCTCAAGGAAATACAAACTTGATAGTCTAAAAGCGATAAGGCTAGATGGAACCAACATCATGTACCAAAAAGAGGTTAAATTCCTAGGAGTAATACTAGACCAAAAACTACTCTGGAACGCACACGTAGAAGAAAGCTGTAAGATCATTTATGACGTGTAGGTCCATGGCAGGTAAGAGTTGGGGCTGCACACCAAAGATACTGAGATGGATCTACACGACAATAGTACGACCCATGGTAACCTATGGAGCCATCGTTTGGGCCGATAGAACTTCAAAACTTGGAGCAATCAAAGTGCTCTCCAAGATACAAAGGGTGGCATGCGTATGCATAACGGGAGCCATGAGAACCTGTCCAACCGCATCCTTGGAGGTTCTTTTAGATCTTACCCCTCTTCATATTTACATACAGACTCAGGCGAAAAGAGCTTTACTACGGATGACTGGTACCAATATCGGGGCAGCAGGGTGTCTTGGTCGTGGGAAGTTAGATATTCCTACGAATAAGTTCCCTGAAATTGCAATACCGAGGGATACCATGCATCCGAGGTTCAGCTTTACAAAGTGGTTTAAGACTGAACTGAGTAATAAGAAGAGCTGCGCAGGCATATCCGAGACATATCGGATAAACCAAAACATGAATACCTGGTACACTGATGGCTCATTGACCGACGAGGGTACCGGGGTAGGGGTAGTTGGACCGAGGATTAGATACTCGGAACCCATGGGGAAACATATGTCTATTTTCCAGGCTGAAATATACGCCATAGAAAGATGCGCGGACTTTAATATCAAGCGAAACTACCGGAGTCAGAACATCGCGATCTTGACTGACAGCCAAGCGGCTATCAAGGCCCTCAGATCTCACCAGTTACATCTAAACTGGTGATGGTGTGCCTCGACAAGCTGAATACTCTTGGTCTGACCAATCGGGTTTGGGTTCTCTGGATTCCGGGACATATTGGTATTAAAGGAAACGAGATTGCCGATAAACTAGCGAAGAAAGGTGCATCAACCCCTTTCACCGGTCCAGAACCTTTCTGCGGCCTGGGAAAAGGGGCACTCTCTAAACTAGTTCGGCTAGAGGAAGAAGCTCAGAGGAATCACTACTGGGATAATCTACCAGGTCTAGAGCAGTCCAAAGCACTTTTAGGAACATATAACCTAAAACGCTTCAAGGAATGTATGAGCTTATCAAAGAATAACTTAAGAATTGTTACAGGAGTCCTGACAGGACACTGCAGGCTGAACTATCACCTGACTAAACTGGGAATTTACTCGCATGAGCGATGCAGATTTTGCAGGATGGAAAACGAGACTGCACAGCACATCTTAGAAGAATGTCCTGCACTGATGCATAAACGCAAAAGGCACCTGGGTGAACATCTGATAACCAAAGGCGAAGTGAAATCCGTAGACTTAGGTTCTATACTAAAGTTTCTCTCGGATACTGGATTAATAGACACACTATAATCCATGAAGGGGATACAATAGATCTTAAGGTCGCAGTGCTCTATCCCCAACAATAATAATAATAATACAAAAAAATACAAATACGTACAAGCATAAGCCTATTTGTTCTCTAAATCAGGGATGAAAAAATAGTTACAATTGTAACTTTTTCCGACGTTTGATGCCTTAAAAGTACAATCACTAGATTTTAGGTACAATCATCTCTTGATCAGATGCATTTTTAGTTTTGTTTTCTTTTTCCTTTCATTTTGAATATTAAGAAATTCTAAAGAAAAGTGGTCAAAAGGAAGAAATTGAAAAAAAAAATTATTTTGTATTCTCTTAAATATTTTACATTGCAATTAGAACAGCCACTACTAATTAATATTTTTACTTGGCTATTCTCAAATTCTTAAATCTTTTTATACTCTTTATTACGAAATTTGAACTTATTTCTTCCATGAAACGTTATTGCGCCCTGGACCGACGTACTCACCTCTCGAATGCTGGTGTGAAGTCATGGTACAATAATTACAGGTATTGTCTTCCCAGAGAGCGCATATTCCGATCTGCCTTATTTAGAAAATATTATTGTTCCCCACACTAAAACGTTTACTGCTAGCTATATAACCGAGCTATCAATGGGCAGCCATAAAAGTTCCCACTTCTACTTGACCTTTGACGTACGTCAAAGAGAACATAGTCCTTTTAATATTTTTTTTCTGTGCTTTAAGTACCTGCTTTGGGTTCTTTCTTTATTATGATTTTTTTGGACCAATCTTAAAAAAAACTAATAGCCACAAAAGAAGAAAGTGTGCACTGTAATTCTTAACAAAATTTTCGTGATTTGCTTTTGATGTTATAGGCGGTATACACGGTGCGTCTGACTCGTAAGTCGGTTTGGATGTGTTTGTGAAAATAAATATGTGTAAATTACACCAACATGACTCCCGGCATGACTCTGAATGATTCAGCTGTGTGTAGTCGAGGGCGAGTCAACACGTACACAAATGATTCGCAAGTCAGACGTACCGCGTATGCCACCTATTACATTAATGCGTTTGAATAATTTGGGGAAATTATTTTTAGCAAAAATTTTAAAAACAGTAGTTTTGTTTACTTGTTGGATAATATTTTTTTCATAGGGTTATACATTGGATCCTTGGCTAAAAACTTCTGTGGTAAAACTGTCCCTTCTTTGCTATTTAAAGTCAATGAGTGAGCTCCTTCAATAGGGATTTTCAGTAGAAATGATCAACGTCTAGCTATAAAGCGAATCGATGCTCAAATAATTAAAAAGCTATAGGTCTGACCTTTAATTAGATAAGAATTACGAAACTATCTCTTATTCAAATTCTTATAAGAAAACGCCTGGCTGGCAGCCACGACTTTGAAAACAGAATTTTGTTCAAAAATAATAATCTGTTTCCCATATCCATCTATTTAACTCGCTATAGCACAAATTTTTCAAAGCAGTCTAACTAACTAAAACTAAAATCTAAAAGTGCACTAAAGTTACAGGTTCTCCAAATTCTGCAACAAGATGACATCTGTATCTGGTTGGGCTGGTAAGCGCTGTTTAAACAACGATCTCGCCATTCTGCTAGATTCTAATTGTTTTTTTTTTAGTGTCACCAGTATCACCAGTTTCACCAGTGTCACCAGTTTCACCAGTGTCGCCAGTGTAGCAGTGTCACCAGTTTCACCAGTGTCACCAGTTTCACCAGTGTCGCCAGTGTGCCAGTGTCGCCAGTGTCACCAGTGTCACCAGTTTTACCAGTATCGCCAGTGTCAACAGTGTACCATTGTCACCAGTGCCTCCAGTACCACCAGTGTCACCAGTGTACCAGTGTCACCAGTGTCGCCAGTGTTGGCATATTGTTTTATATAGAAAAGCGCCGCAGACGAAATCGGCCAGTTTTTTAATCCTTTTTACTATACATATCGAACCGCCAAAATATCATAAGCGACATTTTATTCAAAATTTCCGCGTGGGTACTAGGGATGTGAATTCCGGGATCCCGGGATCCCGGTCTTTTTTAAGTCCCGAATATCCCGGGATTAGTCGATTTAAATCCCGAGATTGCTGGAAACAATTTTTTTGTTAGCCAATTAAATTTTTATCACAAATATCCCCTCTCAAGGGCAAAGCAAGAATTTTTTGCAACCCTTGATGCTATAATTTCTTTAAGATCGCATTTCCATCAAAAGATGGCATAATTTTGCTTCGCTCAAAATGGATAGGTGATGCACTTATATATTTATTTTTTACTTAAATGTGTTAACTTTTTTATTATTACTTAAATATACTGATAATATTTTAAATTGATCTCAAACAGTGATTTAAAAAATTTTATATAGTTACATAGGCAGTTACTGCTGTTCCAAATACAGTGACTTACAAAAATATTTTGCATAGATTTTTTTGCAATATTCAAAATATTTTTCATGGTATTTTTTTGTTAATTAAAGAAAATATATAGCTCATTTTACAACAAAAATCATGTAAATCAAAATTTCACACTTTATAGAAAGTTGGTTTAAGTTCACCAAATGATCATAAAAATATCAAACTTTTTAATCATAATTTTTACA